GGTCCCTTTGCACCCAAACCATTCCATGAGTCTGTATTTACGTGTTGGCAGACATGGATGAAAAACTGCTGATAGGTGATAATTTGTCATCTGTCCAAGAAATGTAGATCAGCTCTCGGCTGTTGACCTGTCAGGCCAAATTGTGCTCTGTGTTTCAGAAGACGGGAGGGATGAAAGTGCGTCACAACTTGCTGTATTGCTGGGTCGTTTTTGTACTGTCTCTAAGAGGAACCTTAACCAACAGTTACACAGGCAAAGGAAAAGTGGGAGGAACAGCCAGCTGCTTCGTGGAAGCGGACTGCTGCAGTGTGGGAGTGTGACTTAGAGGGACACAGTATTTATTGTCTGTCTGTCAAGAAAACGGCAGGTGGTGGTGGCCGGTTCTTTTCTTGAATCACAGGTGTTTTCTGGATTTGAGAAAAATGTAATAATCCTACTCTGTGCTTTCCACCAAGGTGTCCAAAACTGAATTTTCTGTAGGTGGTCACATGTCAGAAATGGCATGTACAATAGCACAATTTTAGCAAACAGCTGGGAGGGTACTAAATCCCACCAGGACGATGAAGCATTTAATTTGTTAAACAAGAATCGGACTCACTCAGTACAGTAATGTTACCAGGTGGGGTACTGCTAGCGTAACACCCTGTGAATTGATGACTGATGAGTAGTGCAGTCCTACTCCAATCTGGTTCTCTCCTGTTTGCTGTGAATTCACAGAAGATGCTTATAAAATCCGAATACGCATTGATGACGAACCTGCCAATCTGGACATCTTGGACACGGCAGGACAGGTACGTGCGTAGTAACGGGTGAGTTGGGAGGGTGTGAACAAGTCTGTAGTGGTCCGGGGTGGAGACAGAAACCCTGTAAAAGACTCTTTTCTCCCGAATTGTTTTTTGAGCTCTCTTGCGAAGCGTCACGTTGCTTAGAGCATCTGTATCACGCCCTCAGATGGCACGCTGCTTTCTGCGCTGCTCCTTGCTCTTTGTGGTCGACCAGCAGCTGATAAGTGAGGTGTTGGTGTGCTCTCTGTCAGGAGGAAGGCTTGGTGTTACCCCCAGGCGTACGCAGTGTTGTGTCCCGTGTGTAACGGGACGAGGAGGTAGACGACCAGCTGGTTTACGGAGTTCCTGGAATGCATGCTGCGTCTCCCGTTCTCAGCGGATCAGAAGGTCATTGTATGAGTGCAACTAAATGTGACTGTCTGTTTCTAGGCAGAGTTTACAGCTATGAGAGACCAGTACATGAGGGCTGGCGAGGGGTTTATCATCTGTTACTCGATCACAGACCGACGCAGTTTCCATGAAGTGCGTGAGTTCAAACAGCTCATCTACCGCGTTCGACGCACCGATGACACTCCCGTGGTCCTGGTGGGAAATAAGTCTGATCTGACCCAGCTGCGGCAGGTAAACGGCATGAGAGAGACCCGCAGTTTCAGCCTGTTGCTGCTGGAAAATG